CCTCGGTAACGGCTGGTCTAAAAGAAAGAATATACACTAGTTGTATGCGACACAATAACCGCAAAAATATTGTTATTATTATGTTTTTTACAAAACTTTTTTTCATAAACCAAACAATTAAAAAAGTTGTTTATTACTATTTCTTTCTTTAAACACACCAGCCCCGTATCCCACCAAGGCAGGGTGCCCAAAAAGAAAAACAAAAGTTTCTCTTTTAAATTTAGTAATTTATACAGGAGAAGGGGTTACTAGCCCCTTGCTCCCGCATTTAAGTCGCCTCTTACAACACGCATGGCTTACGGAGGAAGAATTCCGTTCCACTTCCCCATGGAGTTTTATTACTATTTTTCTATAATATATATATGCACAATAGAGTCACTGGACACATTCCTAGAACTGTTACAGTTTATGGAACTCTTTGAAACATGGTGTTATGCACAGTGCTTTTTTTACACTCCTCACACATAAAACGAGTGTCTGCATTTTTGTGGGCAAGTTGTTGTGGTTGTGGTTGTGCATGGTTGTTTGGTGTGTGGGTGTTGTGTTGTTGGGTTGTGCAGGTTGTGGTGGGGTGGGTGATTGAAGGTGGCCTTTGTTGTGGATGTGTTTGAGTCGCAGCATGGCTACCAGCCTGGGGTGCCACTGGTCCCACATGAAGCATTTCACCAAATACCACCCGCTGTCGCATGTATATTATCCACCCAAAAATTTGTAACATTACCCATTACCCATACCATCTTTCCCACCAACCATGCTGTCTTCCCCACCACCCACTTTGAAATAATCACTGACTTTTTTTTGGGTTAACCTAGGTTCTCTACACATATGCTGCTATGTATGATAATATAATCTATGTACAGTAGACCATCATTTAGCACAAGTTTTATTTGGGCACATTTGAGTGTAGCATGATTGAAGAATTGCGACACAACTTTATGTAAAACGTAAAATCAATTGAACACGATTTTGGGGGAGGGTAAAAAATTTTTGAGCGTGTGGTCGCCCGGTCGCCCGCGGTGGGGAGGCCTACCACCATCCCCCCCGCCACCCACACCCACCCACACCTTTGCTCCCATCCTCCAGTTCGGTTCATGCTGATGTAGGGCGAAGATACATACTCGGGAACCTCGCTGTGTTTATTTACATTCATTGTACTATATATTTTCATTGCTATTTGTTAAATCTCCCAAGCAATCATGGCACCCAGTAAGCATACAAGTGTTGCTGAAAGTGACAAGAAAAGGTTTAGGCGTTCAAGCCCTAGGAATTGCGAAGAAAATTGAGATACAGTGGTCCCTCGTAATCGTCTGGCTCGATAGTCGTCCTTTTCGGAAATCATCGCTTTATTTTATCCAAACATTGGCTCGCAAATGGTCAGTTGACCGCTAATCGTCGTTCTCCTGGACGCGTAACTCACGGCTCTGAGCTGGGTCGGCCTCCCTTCCCAGCCAGTGTGCCACTGTTTACCAGTGGCAACGGTTCTCTCACTTGTTCTTACGAAATATTTCATAATATTCCATTCATTTTAGTGTTTTGCAAGTGCTAAATAAGGTCCCCATGGCTCCAAAGAAAGCTCCTAGTGCCAAGCCTTTGGTAAAGAAGGTGAGAAATATGAATGAATTTAAAAAAAAACATCATTGAACAATATAAAAAGCGTTATAGGTAAGGCTTGGGAGGGAGTGACTACCAGGACTTTGAACTCTGCTTGGAGAAAATTGTGGCCAGATTGTGTCCACAAGAATAATTTGAAGGTTTGTGGCTGCCCCTGATGAGCCTATGTCAGTTGTGAACTCTATTGTGGCATTGGGGAGTTCCATGGGGTTGGATGTGATTTGGAGGATGTGGAAGAGTTGGTGGAGGACCACAACGAAGAGCTAACCACTGAGGACTGCAAGACTCAGCAGGAGCAGCAACAGATCGCAGCTCAGAATCTTGCTGCAGGAGGAGGAAGAGAGATGGAAAAAGGGTGCCTTCTTCAGAAATTAAGGAGTTTTTTGAAATGTGGGGTAGGATGGAAAGATTTATGGAGAAACATCACCCTGAGAAGGATGTTGCAAGCCAAAATCGGCAACTTGTACAGTGACAGTCTTGGCCCATTTTAGGGAAAGTTTTAAAGAGACCCAGAAACAGAGCTCTTTTGGACCCCTTTGCAGACGGGACTCCTGTGACTCTCAAGCTGGTCCTAGTGGCATTAAAAGAAACAGAGAAGAGAAGTAACCCCAGAAAAGGACTTGGTACCGGGGTTTGATGGAAGGGGATTCCCTTTCCAAACAGTAACTAATCCAATCTCTCCCCTCCTCCAGTCTTTCATACACTAAAAAAGAATTGCCAATAAAGGTAAGTGTTATGCTGTTAATGTTTTCATTCATCATGTGCCATTGTATTTTTAATGTACTACATCTATATTTCATGTAAAAAAAATTTTGTTTTAATTCTTCTGGGTGTCAGGAACGGATTAATTGTAATTGCATTATTTCTTAGGGGGAAAAAATTGATTCGAAAATCGTCTATTTCGATAATTGTCGCACTCCCAGGAACGAATTAGCGAGGGACCACGGTATTAGATAAGCTTAACCCTTTCAGGGTCCGTGTCATAGATCTACGGCTTTATGTTCGGGGGTCCAAACCGTAGCTCTACAGTCTACACCATGAGCTCAGCTCACTCTGATAAGCTGTGATGGTAAATTTGGGCCTAGATATGAGAGAATACATCTGTGGGTACATGTGCACCACATAAAAAAATCCTGCAGCACACAGTTGTATAACAAGAGAAAAAACTGAGACTGTGATTTTCGATTAAAACAGCGACTTTTCAGTGTTTTTTCGAAAGTTTTTAATATTGTATTTGCAATTTTTTGGGTCTTATTTGATAGAATGGAAGACATATTACGTTTGATAGAATGGAAGACATATTACGAAATAGGAGTGATTTGATTGGTTTTAAGCACTGGAAATGGCTTGAAACTGAGGGTCAAAGTAGCGGAAATGTTAAATTTTTTGCCGATTGTTCAAGAGTAAACAAACGACCTCACCGTCTAATACACCCAGCTGGTGGATTAATATACATTCACAAATGTGGGGATGAAATTTATACAATTTTTACAAAATTTCATAACAGTTTAAAACTTCTATTTTTTGGTTTGAATAAAAATTCATTATGTGAATAAAAAATCAAAATGGAATTCATTTGTAAAGCCGCAAAACTAACTAATGAAAAAGAGGAAATGTTTTTTTTTTGTGCCAGGAATACCTACAATGTTTTTTCTGGGGCCCCCATTTTGAAATGGAATATTTTGAACTTTGTGTTAAATTGGCCAAATTTACCAAATTTCCGATCGCTTTTATTTTGTAGTTGAAACAGTTGACTTGGCGATTTCTTGTGCTCAATCGATAGAATAGAAGTAATACTAGTGAAATAGCTAAGAATTTGGTCGACTGGATAATTTTAATTGGCCTAAAATAGGAGGCAAAATCGCCGATTCATAAATATCGCTGACAAAATCAAAATTCGCGAGAGCATAATTTCATCAATTTTCCATCAAATTTCGTACTTTTTGTTTTATTACCTTCAGAAAAAGATTCTCTACCATTTCATAAAAAATAACAAAAATTTTTTTTTAAAATTCTTGGACCCTGGTGGCACTTTGGAATTTGGCTTCTGGACCCTGAAAAAGGGGTTAAGAGTGGATCACGTTGGGGTTTGGGTATATGAGGGCCTTTGGCCTTAATGAAGCGTCAGTTTGTACAATTAAAAAGAATGAGGCAAATATTCGAGCTTGTGTAATGAATAACCC